CCCCTCCCCCCTCCCCCACCCCCCTCGATTGGATGGGAGTTAAGTATGTTTGGTACTATTTCCACAATCATTATCTGATCTCTTATTCGGCACATCTTCAAATGCACAAACATGCAGTGTGCATTTGGTTCAGGTTTTCATATTTATCAATTGACTCAATTATTATCCTAGAAGCAGTTAACTCTTCTATTTGGTTAAGATTCACAAAAAAAATGAGCACATTTTTCTGGATCTGCTGATTCTCGAGAATAAGTCTTTCCTGCACAGAACCCACAGATTCCAGATTATTCTTTAACAATTCCATCCAGAAACGTGTGAAAAAACTTAACAGCCAAATCCACAACCAAGCTGATTACTAGATTCTAGAAAGCGGAATCACCTCATTCAAAATCGTGTTATTCTAGAATTCAGAATCACCTAATCTAAGAATTGGAAGCAAATGGAGCCGTAAAGCTTTGCTGTTTCATTAAATTCATTATTAACAATGGAAACACCATCAATACCAACATTTGTAACAAGAACAGCAGCTATATGCTCATCCATTTTTTTGTATTTCTCCAACAGGCTTATGAATACTATTCAAAGATACGCTCTCATAACCTTGATACATCTAGTGAAAGATTTAAAAGGGTGCATGGAACTGATGGACGGGGAATATATGTTGACCAAAAGTTCAGGAAGAAGACAGTTTTGCCGATTCCTGAATATTCTGTTTCAGCACGGAACTCGCAAGGAGAAGAGGATGAAGGTCCAGCAAGAGAAATGTTATTTAACAGTAGAGACAACGATAAGCCTCTGGCAAAACGTAGTGGGAAAATGATAATTGACCATGTATCTAACCAATGCCCTAATAGAGGAAGAATTATTGGAGATCAAGCTGAGCAATGGTCGAAATTTTTTTTTTGAAGGAATTGAAGCAAGCTTCGAGGTTTCTGAAGTTCAGCACTCTGAATTCAAGCCTTCATCTGTACATTATCACGATGTCAGGGAAAAAGAAATATCTAGAAGTGTCAAAAAGGTAAAGAACAGCAATGTCTCTGTCTATGCTAATATTTCTTATCCAGTCTTCTGATTGTTCCAGCTTGTCTTTCAAATTATTTTTAGGACGATTTATTTAGTCGAGATGGGAGAATGCTTGATGAAGGCTTTAATCAAGGTCAACTGAAGATTCCCGGTAATTTTGAAACAATGGTATGGATGATTGTAATATTTTTGGACAAATTGCTTTTAATAGTCCATCCTTTGGGTGATCAGCCAATAGTAATCCAAAATTTTGCCCATTCCAAAATAATCCTAACTTTTACACCTTCATCCATTTAATAATTTTTTTAAAACTAGAATCCGAATAAGTACTTCTTTGGTGGACGTAAAGTCCACGCAAATGTAACTTATTAGGGTGGTAAGCAAATGCTTACCACCCTCATATGAAGGTCCAAATAAAATTGTGTGGACCTTAGGTCCACCATAGCATTTGACAATCCAAAGTAAAAGCAACCAGGCACAATAATTCAAACTTCAACCTGTTCCAGTTGTAATGCAAACTTTAATACATCCATCCACTTTTGCACCTGATCCAGTTAATACAACACTTTCTCGTTAAAAGTGGAATTTAGTTTTGGTCCACTCATGTTACGTTCAATTAGATTCAGTTACGCGTTGTTATTTTCAACTTATTTTTAGTTCAATTCATAAATTTGTAGTTAAACTTAAAACTAACTTTAGTTCGGTGCTGTTGAGTAAATTTTAATTCAAAGAATGGATTCTATGTAAACTTTATATGAAAAAATAAGACCCAGAATAATTTTAAAAATAGAAACAAAAAAGTATTGTTCTTTGTTTCTACCATTTTCTCAAAACACTTCACAAGTCTTATTTATAATTTTTATAAATATCACTAACAACATTATTGTTTCTACTTTGTTTCAAAGTACTCTGTAATTTTTATTTATAATTTTCGAATTAACATGATCAACATTATTTAATTATATTCCTACTTTGAAATAAAGTAGAATCCATTGTTTAATTCACAATACTGTTATTTAATTCACAATACTGTTATTCCTACTTTATTCCTAGAAATACTGTTGTAGGACAATACTGTTATTTAATTCACAATACTGTTATTCCTACTACTTTTTCACAATATTTTTTTGTTTCAATAACAGTATTCCTACTTTAATTCACAATACAGTTGAAATAACAGTATGATTTAACATGATCAACATTATTTAATTCACGATACTGTTAATCATAGTTATTAATGGCGAGTGGCGAGGGGCGGGCGAGAGGACCTTTTTTATGGCGAGAGGCGTGGCGAGAGGCGGGCGGTCAAATGGCGAACATGCATGCATGCATGCATGCATATACACACGCACACACACACACACATGTATGTATGTATGTATAAACACATAATATTGATACTAGATATGTATGTATGTATGTATGTATGTGTATATGTATATATATGTGTGTGTGTGTGTATGTGTGTGTGTGTGTATATATATATATATATTATGGAGTAATATATAGCAATAAATATTATGCATTGTATACCCTAAAGCCTTAAGGCAGTGATTGAGGCGAGAAAGGCGAGCTAGGCGAACGCCTGAGGCAGTGATTGAGGCGAGAAAGGCGACCGCCTTAGGCGCGCCTTAGGGATCTCGCCTCGCCTGGCTTCATTGAGGCGCTGAGAGCTCGCCTGGTCGCCTGAGGCGCCATAGGCGAGAGAGGCGAGCGCCTTTAATAACTATGCTGTTAATTCACATACAATAGAAAAATCATAATTCACAAGGAGTATGACACTTATTTACAAGTTTATTACTCCCTCCGTCCGGGAATAAACTTCTTACTTTGACTTTTCCTCATTTTTAGTGAGGGCTGATTTTAAGAGGGAAATGTCCAAAATACCCTTGTAGTCTCATGACCCTCACTGCCCTAGAACCCCTGGAGGCTGGAGCACCCACCCCCGCCTCAGTTCCCACCATCGCCCACCCACCGCCGCCCCACCCCTGACCGCCGACAGCCCCATCATCACCAC